TGTATAAACTTTTCATACGCTTTTTCATAAGCTTTATATACCTTCAGAAATTTTGCATAATCTTTAGAAGCATTTAGATATTGTTTAAATGCTTTGTATGTCTTCAAAAATTTTGCATAATCTTTTACATGTTGTTCGTTCTCTTCTTCTGTCATGAGTTCCGAATATTCTAAATTCATGTTCTTTCATATGAGATAAAATTTTATAAAAAAAATAAAATTAGCTTAGATTTTTTTATTCTTCCTCTTTGAAGTTATCGAAATATTCTGTTATCTTTTCTTTCAGTAATGGTAAGTCTTCTTTGAATGTAAGTATTGTGCAACCTTTGATGTCATAGTGTGTTTGAGGAAGAGTATTTTTGACAATTTCCTTTATTTGCTCATTCGGTGTCATTGAAATCGGTAAGTTTTCACGATAGAACCAGTTTCTGTCAGATTTATATATTTGAGCGAGGTCATAAAAGCTCTTGTTGTTTCTTCTGACTAAATGCAACATAACCATATCTTTATCTTCTTCTTTCTCCATCTCTTCAGTATATATCATATACTTATAGCTTTTTTCCTTTCCTTTTGGTACTGAACGTGGTATTCTTTTCTGTATGCTTTTGTCTTTGGATTCAATGACTTCATCTTTTGCTTGAAGTTTCTTTTCCATCTCTTCACGTTCTGCTTTATATAGTTCATCTAACATCATGAAAATATACAAGCATAACGAGGTGAAGCCCACATTGCTACAGCATTTACTAAAAGTCTATGAACATAATAACCTTTTCAAACCAGGTGCAAATTCTTGCGATTTTCGTACGGAATCTCTTCCCTCGGTTTTCCGAGGGTAGCAAACATATGAGGAAATTCTTCTAAAAGTTCTTTTGTCTGTTGGTTTTCAAACCAATGATATGCTTGCTTTGTAGACTGAAGAGCGTTCATTATACTTTGCATTTGGTACATGTCATCTTTGACTGAACGAATGAGACGTAACTGTTTGTTATACTGTATGTACTCGTATTCTTCATTTATGGTTTCATGAACGATAGCAGTTGTTGTGTTCTCTGTTGTTGTCATTACTGTCTTTATATTCCGGATAAAAAAATAAATAAAAATAAAACTAACTTTATTTTCTGTGTTAAAGAAATGTTAAAAATTCATGGTTACATATGTGAAAAGAAGTCACGAACAAATGAAGGTCATAAGATTCAGCACATAATTCTGAATTGAATGGTGTGTCATACATGTCAAACCGTCAAGAATTGAAGGAGATACGAGGCTATAAAGATTTTGGATATTTTCTGACACACACCCTGAGGGAAAAGTGACAAAACACGACGATAGAAAAGTGACAAAATGAGAGAAAGTTGTTCCCCGACCAAAATGTAATCATGTTGAAAAAGTGACATTTGTAAAGTTGGACGATAGGATTTTCTGAAAAAGTGCAAGACTTGTTCTGAATCAGGACAAGATTTGTCTTGAAAAAATACAAGACTTGTTCTGAATCAGGACAATTGTTCTCAAATTTGAGAACTTTACAAGAAAAACTGACTAAAAAGTGCAAGACTTGTTCTGAATCAGGACAAGATTTGTCTTGAAAAAATACAAGACTTGTTCTGAAAAAATACAAGACTTGTCTTGAATCAGGACAAAACTTTACAAAATGTAAACTTTACATAACCGTTTCTATCGTACATGATATTTAGTTGACATTGTAAACTATCTTCATGTAAAGTATGGCGGTTTGAAACCGTCGGGAACCTTCACTTTTTTGACGAACTTTCCGCAGCAATTTTTAAAATTTGAGAAAACTCAACGGTTTGACACATGCCATATGTCATTTTACTCAGAATTTTGTGCTGAATTCAGCAAAAATAATGTTTAGGTGAAGAGGTGAGATCTCACCCGTTTTTTCACCTGTTTTTTCACCTCTTTTTCACAAGCGTTTTACATGAATTGTACGATGTATATTTGAAATCCTAAACAATTTCGTAGCTTCTATTTCTTCTTTTAGTACATCGAAATGTTTTAATCATGCCGAAAGTCTTTATATTTCTTCTTGACGTCAGACAGAAGGAAATCTTCTGCTGTTGGATAGTTTTTGTTCAGAAATGCTAACATGTCCATTTTATCTTCTACTGGCTTTTCTGCTTCTTTCTTTAAGTCTGCATAGTCGTTTCGCATACGTTCTATCTCTTTGACTGAGTAGTTATATTTTCTTATTCCTGCTTTACATTTTGAACATTGCGGATTCATTTTTGCGTTATACATTGAAATTTGACCTGCTAGAACAACTAAGGCGTCAATGGTTTTCTTTAACTCAAAAGCTGCGGGTTTTATTTGTCCGTTCCATACTTTACCTCTTCTATCTTTATCTCTTATCTGCCATACACATTCAGCAACTAATGAAACAAAGTTGTCGTATGTCTTAAACTCCTCCGATTTATATATATCAGAAACATTCTTATATACCATATCGCAATCTTTGTCCATAACTTTATGGTTGCAATGATATCCTAGAAACTCATAGTTAACCTTACGTATGAACTTCTTTATTTCTACTGAATCAGTAACTTTAACTTCAATTTCATCGAATTCAGGAATAGTTAGTTTTTGTTGTTGGATTTCAGGCAATTTGGGTAAATGGTCAATAATGTCCTGCATGTCATAAAGATATTCTTCATTTTCTTCATCCTGTGCGGTACAGTCTAAATTACTTGTTAAAAGTTCTTGCTTTATTCTTTGTATTTCTGTTTCGAAAGTAAATGAAGAAGGAATGAAGCTTTTCATCTCTACTAACATTGACGTAGGATTCATGACTAACGAGTTTGGTGCTGTTGTTGTTTGAATTGTTGTTGTGCCGATTGTTGAAATCATATCTTTTATACAAAATAAAAAAATAAATAAAAATAAAATTAGCGTTATTTTTCTTTCATAAGGAAATACATGAAAAATTCACGGGGGTGAAAAAACAGGTGAAAAAACGGGTGAGATCTCACCTCTTCACCTAAACATTATTTTTGGTGAAAAATGACCAAATTTCATGAATTTTCACAAAAGACAAAAAATAAACGCTTTACATGTATTTTTCAGCAACTTCGTCAAATAATTTTATAGCTTTATCTATCTCATCTACTTCAAACGTTTCTTTACCTTTCGTGGAGCACCATACATTTTCTCAAACTTTTCAAGTAGTTCTGTTTCTGCAGCTCTCATATCATTAACGAACACAACCTTGACTCTATTGACTGTACTGTCATATCTTTGAGTTATATTATATGTCCTTCCTATCTTATATCTCTTTGTATTGAAGTCCTTCGGTTTCTGAACGATGTAAAGTAAGCCTTCACTGCAACGTTCCGTATCGAATGAACCATATGTTATGAAGTTATATCCAACAACTGGATCAATCCATAGAAGAATTATTGGTATAAGACTTTTGTCAATGAGATATACTCTTGTTCCATGAAATGCTACTGATATCATAAGCTCAGGATTTCTTGTCAAAATTTTCTGAGTAGAAGCAATTCTAACCCAGTCCTTTGCTTTCTTTCCAGATGGAGATATAATGTCTGACAAAGAATATTTGTTGTATTTCTTTGAGTATCTTACGTTTAAATCACCTATTCTAACCATTTTGGTGTCATTGTCTATCTTTCTAACTGTTTCAAACTCAATGTTTGTCATTTCTGTCTTTACATACAAAATAAAAAAATAAATAAAAATAAAATTAGCGTTATTTTTCTTTCATAAGGAAATTCATGAAAATTCACGGGGGTGAAAAAACAGGTGAAAAAACGGGTGAGATCTCACCTCTTCACCTAAACATTATTTTTGGTGTAAATTTATGAAAACATTAATGATATCATGACTGTTCTCATTCATGTCTGATTTACATCTAATGAAAAAGTTTAGATGAATTTTCTTATTCTTTCTGGCATATTTTTGTCTTTCCAATACTCCCGCTCTAATGGTCCTAGATGAGTTGGCTTTGACTCTCTCAAGTTCTTAGATGGTATAACATCTTCAACGCCTCCTTCATATCTTACTTTATAAGTGTCATCGTTTGTGTTGTAGCCAAGTATTTCAATAACCACTCCTCGCTTTGCTTCGTCAATGGTTTCAGCAAGTTTGCCATTACTACTTTCAACTAATTTATGACGAGGGTAAAATGCTATGGAGTCGTCAGCAGCTTTTATAAGATATCCATTACCTTGCGTAGAGTCTACGATATAATAATTTCGACTTAACCTTAAACGTTTCTTTGTCAACGGTTTGTCGTCAAGAACTACACGAACTTTTGTACCAGGAATGAGGGTAAATTGTTTTGAATTTCTGATATTTTGTGTTTGACTTAGTTTCTTTTGTATATACTTTTCTTCTTGTTGTTGTGTCATTGAATTTGGTGTATGTCCTGTTGTAGAATGTGTTGAGGAATTATATACTTCGAGAAAATGTTTCATTGTTTCTTCGGTAAAGTCTCGCTCTTGATTTAAATCTCTGAGAGTCCTTATGAAGCGGTTTATGATGCCGAGTATGTTATGGTTATGGTCTTCAGTAGTGTAGTGAGTTATGTTATGCTTAATGAGAAAATCTGTGATTTCATTGCTGAGGTATGCACTGTCTTGGTCTGATGTTAAAGTACTTGGGCTATGTTCTGCTACAAACTTTTGTAAAACTCTTAACACTTCACGAGTTCCTTTATTCCTCATTGGATATGCATATGCTTTACGAGTGTTAACATTTATGAAGATGAGGAATGGTTTATGTCCTCCTTTTCTGCTTTGAATGAGAGTGTCAAATTGGTATGCGTCAGGAGTGTTGGAGTAAATTGGTAAAAAGTAGTCGTAAGGATTTATTTTTGTTTGATGTACAACATTTTTGTCAAAGAACCTTTTCACTTCAGCTCTGTTAGTAAATCCCGAACTCTTTGCAGCTTCATTGAATTTCTTAAAAGACCTCCATGGATGTTGTTCGAATACTTCTTTCAAGCTCATTTATGTAAAGTTAAAGATTTTAACCAACTCGTATCCAAGCGTGCATTGTTATATAAGGAGGCATATAATCTTTTCCATTACCTGCTGGGTCTGTAATACCAGCTACAACATGTGTATGATTTCCTGCAGTTCCACAGAAAATACCTGTGCTAACATCTTTGGGGTCAGTTGTGATATCATATCTGTTCATTCCCTGTCTATTCGAACCCGCTGCAAGATTTATATAACCTCTTTTTGTTATTGAATGTGAATGGTTTCCTTCCACAGATGTTCTTCCACTGAACCTATGCATATGTGAAGGAAGGTTTTCAATACCTATTTTCTTTGAACCGCCCATCTTCATTGACTGTGTATTAGTGTAGAATGGAAAACTGTCAACTATTTCATACCATCTACCACCAAATAAAGTGTTTGGATTTATTGGATTCATAGACGTATAAACAGCTCCTATAGGATATATTAAATCATATATGCTCATAACTCTATAAACATATTCTAAAGAACTTATGTCATTAAATACCATTTGGAATGTATCTCCCGGATGAAATGTTGCATTTGTTCCACTTTTATAATGTAATGTTAGTTCAATAGAATTATCCAAGAAAAATTCAAAAGTATCTGGTTGAAGACCTCTAACAAATTCAAATGGAGTTGCTGGTTCACCATTTATAATTTCTGTTGTAAATGTCATTGTATCTGGTTTCGAAAATTTCTTTGTTAGTTCTGCATCCACATAAGTTTTGTCAGCTTTATTATCTAACATTGTTGGTAGTTCATGTGCTTCAAAGTTTCTGGCATGACCTTCAATGTTCATACATTTGTTATTTAAGGAGTTTAGTGTATCTTTTACGCTTGTACTTGGATTCTCTAAAGGTGCACTTGAACCAAGGGTATAGTTCAATATTACATCGTCTGCTCTAATAGTAGTGAAGGATTCGTTTGTATGGTTCTTGTCGGCTTTACTGTCTAATGTAGCTTGAAGTTCATTTATATCGGAGATATTGTGTTTATGAGATTTCAAAACTTTGTTCGTTGCTTCGAGTTCAACTTTGTCAGCTTTACTTTTAATAGCATCTTCAAACGTTATTTTTGCCTTAACTCTCAATGTAAATCTTGGTTCAACTAATACACCGTTAACATTGAAAGTAGAGGCATAAATTTCACCGGTATAACCAAATGCTTCTGGTGCTTTAGCTACATCATACTGTACAGTACAGCTTATGTCATAACCTTTAGCACGAATGTATTTATATCTTCTTTCATTAACATTTTTTGTCTTCGCTTCATCACTTCGTGTTAAATATCCATGGTAGTCCGTTATAATCTGTTCGTCTGAAGTTATATAATGAACGTGGTTCTTGACTTTATCACTCAGAGCTAAAAGCTCATTTTTGTCTGCTTTTTCGGCTAATTTCTCATTAACATCATTCACTTCTAATTCAACTCTTCCGCCAGAACTCTTATTATCATTAATCTTTTTCATTAATTCGGTAATTACGTCATAAAGACTATATTCTGTTTTCGGTTTTGTAAATAATGAGTCAAAATTTCTTTTCATCATTACATCGCTGACATTAATGATATCACCAATTCCTTTTTCATTTATTCTCTTCATTAGTTCTGCAATAATGACGAATATATAATCTGTTAATTTATTCTCTTCATCGAGGGTTATAGAATTTTGAAATTGAATCATTAACTCCTCTAAATAAATCAATAACTTCAGGATACACGTTTTTAATGTCTCGAATAACCCGACCAGTATCCTCTGGTTTCTTCTCTTCTTCGTTCCCGTCGTTACGTGGTTTTATATCTCTAACCATCATCAACGCAGCCATAACCGGAGGGTTTGTTGCTATCTGTTCGAAAATCCGTCCGTTATGTACAGTATATCTAAATAATTTCTTTGTGTTTGTTAAAACATTTGAAACAAGTCTTTTAAAACCATCTACAAAATTTCCTGTTTCACCTAATGTTCTTGCAGCATTTACAAGCTCACCCATTCCCGCTTTTGACCCCAAAAACGTCCATATTGCATTTATTTCACTCTGTATAGTTGTCCATTCAGCACAAATTATTCCTGCATTCGCTAAGCTGAAAATGAAATTCAGTGGATCGAACTTAATTCCACCTTCTTTTTCAATTTCAACGAACTCACTAACATGAGATTTTAAGTATTCTTTCGTTAAAATTGTTTTCCCCGATGTTATGTCATTAACGAAACTATCACCGTCAAAAGTTAACGAATTCAATTTCGTCGTTGATGCTTTTATTTTATACACCGCTTTATCGATAGTTTTTGGCTCACCTTCTTTAGAAGCATATGAACATTAATGAATGAATTATATGTATTCGTGAATGAGTTAAAATCAATGATTTTCATTAATGACGCCTTTAATGATTCATTAACTGTTGAATCCCTTAAAACAATTACTGAACTGTCATTTATGAAAGGTACACTGCAAACCGTCGAGTTTGGATCAAATGCTGTAGTTGGTGCAGGAATATTAATGATATAAGTCATTAAATCATTAAGTGACGTAAATAATGTTGTCGTTTTTGATTTAATTTCTTTAGCATCTGTTATATATGGTAATTTTATTTCTGTAGTTTCTGAATTAAAGATATTCGCTAAAATGTTTTGTAAACTGTTTTGAACAGCAGTATAAACCGTTGAATCCGGAACTCTTACGATTTCACCGTCCTTAATAAAAGGCATTGCACATGGTGTAGTGCTTGGGTCAAATCTTTCGGGATTATAATTCAACATATATTCTAACGCTTCATATACAGACTTATATACTGTCGTGTCGTTCTTCATGACAACTTCACCATTTACAATGAATGGCATTGTACATGGAGTTAAAATAGGGTCAAACTTTTCATAGTCCTTCCATGTTATGTATTTCTCGGTATTTCCATCACTTGATAACAATATATTTGTCAGTAAGTGTGAGAGAGTATTGACCAAAAATATAAACGTTTAGCTCTGTCAGCTTCATACGCATATGCACGCTATACTCATATTTTAATGAGAATAAAATGTTGTTCTATTTGCAAAGTACAGACCCAAACGAATACGGGACAGTAAAGCTACAAACAAACTTAGGTCTACAGAATGAGCCACTTGCATTCAGAATGGTTGACTTCAATACTATCGCTTCATTCGTTATAACAGATGAAACAGATTTCATGGAGCTTGAAATAGATGGAAAGAAGCACGAAATAAGATTTCACAATAATGTAGAATATAAGATGGAAACATTAGCTGGAGTGTTAAATGCTCTCATAAATACTACAATAAACAAGGATAACGAAGAAAACTTAATGAATGTTAAACTTATTGCAGGAGTTTTGAAGTTCAGTTATGTGAAGGAGTTTAAGATAACACGAATGAGTCATAGAGTACAACTTCTTTTGGGAGCATACCATATGACATTTCCTTTGAAAAGTGTTGACAAAACGATTGAGATGAAATCTGTTCCATACGTATGTTATGGTAATTGTTTGTACATTGAGTCTAAAATAGCTAATGTCACAGGCATTTCAGGAGTTAATAGTAAAGGTTCAGTAGAATATAAGTCTTTCTGTTATGCAGTCAATTCAATGTTCATTCCAAACGTTCCTGTCATAGTAACTCATTTAGGTAAATGGGTTCGCATTAGTCCTCATAATTTGAAAGACATGCAATTCAGACTTGTTGACTTTCAAGGAGAGCCTGTAGAACTGAAGGCACCAGTGCGAATGACTGTTGAAGTTGACTTTTAGAAAATATTAAATGCAACAGCTTACAAGAGAACTCAGAGCTAAAAATATAAAGTATGAATGTTATGTATTAGGTCATGAACTTTGGTTGTTGCTGTTTGATGAAACAAATGAATTAGTTATGTCAGTCAAGAACAGAAAAATATTGTGTTAGTGAAAACTGCACCAAGTCAATAAGATTAGGTTTGCATTATGAAGATGAGTTCGATACTGTTGAAGAAGTTTTGGATAGATATTACAAATTGCTTTAATTTACTAAAACATATTTCAAACAAAGCTTATATTCTGTTGAAAGTTTTGTATACTCGTTCGAATTTTATACTTAAACTCAACTCCTGTAGTTTCCTGGTATTTCAATGATGCGGATGTTACCTATTTTCATGAATATTGGTGTTTGACCACAGCATTCGATTTCAGGGTCGAGATAGTCAATGACACATTGCTTTCCTGTTATTCGTGATATAACATTTTCAAGGTCCTCCTTTGTTAGAATTATTTGGTTCTTACTTATAAGATTTATCAAAAGCTTCTTATCGTCTTTGAGTAAAATTGTTTGGTATAACTGAAGAAGGTAATGGTCTACGTTATCTGAAGGATTTGTTTGAACATTTGTGTAAGGGTTGTCGTTGGCTTCTCTTGAAAGAATTTGGTCCAGTGGTGGATACTCTAACTTAACATCTGATGTAGCGTTAGCGTTTGAAGCTGTGTTTAAATTCACGGATTTCAGCTCTGGTTCTTTTTTCTTTCAAACACTCTGAACTATAGTTCTTTATGACAATATTGTTTGTCGTTCGTGAGTCAACATTTTGATGTTGGTTCAATTGGAACATTAACGGCACCAGCTAAGATGGATTTGCTTCTCATTTCATATAGAATAAAAACCTTTTATATGTATGAAATGAACAATATACTCGACAAGGGTTTGAATGTAAAGCTAACGAATGAAAATATTGTTGAATTCACTGAGACAGGTGCTGTGTATAAAGATGTAGAACTACTGAACAAAAGAGCAAAGGGAAGAAGCAGGAATATGAACAAAGGGTGGAAGCCTATAAAAATTTATGTCAATGATGGCTCAGGAGGTTCAAACATAAAGTATGCAGAAAGTTATAGAGTTTATGCTCTCAAAGGTGAAAAGCCTTCATTTAAGAACAGCTATTCTAACGCATATCCTCAAAAGCTAACGGATGGGGAAGTGGATGATATGAATGACAGCAAAAATATTAACAGAAATGGCGACAGAGATGCATGGAATTTGTTTACCATCAGTCAATTAAAGCATAAGATTTAAAACAATGTTGGTCGTTCCCATGGAATATTTTTGACTTTAATGGTATTAGTCATGATATGAATCTCAAGGTATGAACGAGGAGAGATGAGAGGACTTATATGCTTCCCAAATTTCTTCAAAAGGTAATGTTATACCTGACTGTTTCCAAATGAGTTCAATATCATAGCGTGAGAAACCTTGAAAGATAACGAAGTCAGTTATGAGACGTTTTATGTTTAAAGCAAGGAAACGCCATGTTTGCATAAGTATTGCTACAGTTAAATGGTAATGTCTGACTTTAGTTATGATGTTAGCTAATGGTGAGTCTTGGTTTTGACACTAAACCTTTTCCGGCGAAGTCGTCACAAACTAATAAAGTGTTTGATGGATACTTT